AGCTCGGGAGCGCAAGCGGCTGTCAAGATGGAGGAGACGTCGGAGGCGCCGAAGGCGATGGAGGAGAGGTCAGGATCAGGTGCGAAGATGCCAGAGGAGGAGACACCTACAGCCGAGGGCGCAATGGACGCAGATGCGCTGGAGAAGGTGAAGGGCGTCATCCATGAGCTGGGTTTCTTCGGGGTTCACGTCTCAGAGCTGTTTGGGCCAGGCAAGTTCACGAACAGGGCCGAGTCCTTCGGCCTCAACCCTGGGCACGCATTCGACTTGTGCTTGACGGACGACGATGGTGCGCCGTGGGACCTATCGGGCCCAGAGCGTCAGAAGCTGCGCGAGGCGACGATCGACAAGGAAAGGCCGTACTTGGTTATCGGGTCGCCGATGTGCCGAGCGTTCAGCACCATCATGATCATGAACAGGACCCGCGACTCAGAAGGGCACGAGAAGAAGGTGATGGAGGGCATCCAGCACCTGAGGTTCTGCGCGAAGATTTACGCCAAGCAGGTGGAGCAAGGGCGGTATTTCCTACGTGAGCATCCTGCCCGAGCGTGGAGTTGGAAGCTAGACTTCATGGTGGATTTGTCGAAGCTGAAGGGTGTCTCTCGTGTGAGTGGCCACCAATGCTGCTTTGGCCAACAGACGGTTGACCTAGACGGCGAGAAGGGCCTGGTACTCAAGCCCACTGGTTGGATGAGCAACTCGGAGCGCATCTTGAGGGAGGTCCCCCGCAGGTGCGAGAATGAGAGCTTGCCTCGGGGCAAGTGGCACACGCATGCACATCCGGTTGGGAATTCGAAGACGCGGCCAGCGCAGAACTACCCGCCAGCGCTGGCGGCGGCAATCCTCGAGGGCCTGAAAAAGCAGCTGAGGGCCGACGGCGAGTTGAGCGAGCTCACGGTCGGGGTCACGTGCGAGGAGGACGCCGTCAGCTGGGAGATGGAGGAGTACGAGGAGCTCCGCGACAACATCTCGGGCCAGCTGCTAGACGCCAAGATGGTGCGGGCCGGCCGAGAGGAGGAGCCCAAGTACATGGACGAGATGAAGGTGCACGAGGTGGTTCCTGAGTCTGGGTGCTGGGAGGAGACTAGGCGAAGCCGATCCAGGTCAAGTGGGTCGACATCAATAAAGGGGACGAAGCTCGCCCAGAGATAAGGTGCAGGTTAGTGGCGAAGGACCTGAAGAGCGCGCAGACCAGGGCTGGAATCTTCAGGGATGATGTGTATTTCGGCGACGCCGCCCCAGGAGGGTGTCGAGATGCTGTTTAGTAAGATGATGAGCAAGAAGCGCGGCGACTGCAGGAGGCGGAAGCTGATGTTCATCGATATCAGTCGGGCGCATGTCCACAGTCCGGCTCGCAGGCGCGCGTTCGTTCAATTACCTGCCGAGCGACATCGAGAGGGTCATTGCGCGCTGCTGCTCAAGAGCATGTACGGCACAAGGGACGCGGCTGCGAACTTCGCCGATGAGGTGATGGAGGTGCTGCGCGACATGGGCTTCAAGATTGGTGCGTTTTGTCCGTGCCTGTGCAGGCACGAGGGGAAGGACATCTTGCTATTCTACCACGGGGATGACTTCGTGAGCGAGGGCGAGGGCGACTCGCTGGAGTGGTTCAAGGTGGAGTTGTCCAAGATGCTGCTGGTGAAGGTGCGTGGAGTGCTTGGCTGGGACGACAACGATGGGAAGGAGATCGCGCTGCTCAATCGGATCGTCCGGCTCACCGAGGTGCAGGACGGGGTTCCGTGTTTGCAGTGGGAGGCCGATGTTCGCCATGTCGAGATCGTTTTGTCGCAGCTGAAGCTGAAGCCGGGCAAGGGCAGCAAGTCGGTGACGTCGCCTGGCATCAAGAGGACCGCGGAGGAGCTGGAGAGTTCGGCTAGCCTCGGGACCGCCGAGGCATCGTTGTTCAGGAGCGTCTGCATGAGGATTAACTACCTGGCGATGGACAGGATCGATTTACTCTTTGCGGCGAAGGAGGCAGCAAGGTGGATGAACAAGCCGACACAGACAGCCATGGAGATGGTGAAGCGAATCGGGCGCTACCTGATGCGGCGACCAAGGATCGCGCAGCAGTTCGTTATGCAGGCGGAGCCCGACTACCTGAAGGTGGCGTGCGACTCCGACCATGCAGGTTGTGTACTGACGAGGAAGAGCACTACGGGCATTGCGCTGTACCACGGAGCTCACTTGCTGAAGGCGACGGCCAACACCCAGTCGGCGATAGCGCTGTCGAGCGGGGAGTCGGAGTTCTACGCGATCGTGCGCGGGACGAGTGTTCGACTGGGAGCCCAAAGCATGCGTGAGGACTTCGGCATGAAGAAGGATTTAGTGATCGAGACTGATGCGACGGCCGGGCGCGGTATGGCGCTGCGGCTCGGCGCGGGAAAGGTGCGCCATCTACGTGCGCAGTACTTGTGGGTACAGACGGTATTCCACGAGAAGAAGGCGAGGCTGGTCAAGGTGCCTGGAAACCTCAACACAGCGGACATGATGACCAAGCACCTGGCCGGCGACACGATTGATTTCTACATGGGTCGGTGCGGGCTCGTTATCCTGGAGGGCAGGAGTGAATTGTCGCTGAAGGCGGCAGTGTGAGTGCGGCTTGGGCCGAAGGTTCGGCCAAGTGATCTCATGATCAGCCTGAGGAAGGCTCTGTTTGCTTGCTGGTCGACGGCGGCGCGACAGGCGCCTGGTCGAGGAGGAGTGTAGCAAGACATACTTGATAAACAGGTTGTGATGGCGTGTTGCTGTCTGCAGCCGTGCTGGTTCAAAATAGCATCGCCACCCTTGGACAGTATAAATTCCTTATCTGCCACGTGTATTTGGCGCAGCCCCTGAACACACAAGAAGGGAGGGAGGAGGGAACGGGCAAGTTGGAGGGAGAAGATGGAACAGGATAGAAGAGGGAACGGGCAAGTTGGAGGGAGAAGATGGAACAGGATAGAAATTAGCAGGAGGGGGAAAGGAGCAGGAAAACAGCGGCAGAACCAGACGGGCGAGCCGGGCGGGCGGATCATAATGAGCGGGTCGGGCGGGTGGGCCCAGATGGCTCGGTAGAGCAGGTGGGGCGTACGTATTGCATGAATATTGGCGAGTTTTCTAGCGATAGCACGATTCCTGAGTACATCGTGAGGAGGTCCAAAGCGAAAGTTTGATTCCTGAGTGTCGAGGGCGCGGCGTCTGAATAAATTGCCTGGAAGTCCCACGCGAGAGCGCGATTCCAGTGTAAATTGCGAGAGAGAACCGCGCAAGAGCGCGGGTTTGATCAAATTTACAAGAAGTATCAAGGGGGTGCCGTTGTTGAGGTAAATTGGGGGCCAACAAAACCGTCTGAGACCGAACCTTTCCCCTTGTAAAAAAACAGGGTGTGAGCCCCGGGAGGGGCATCTCAATTGAGAAAACACAAGGTGCATTGGCGGTGAGGGGATCAATAACTACTTGTAAGAAATAAGAGTTCAACAAGGTCAAACACGGATTTCGAGCCGCGTCGCGCTCCCGCCTCGCCTGGAGTCACTCCTACCAGTCCAACCGGGAGACGGCCGCGTTGCTAGCCCCCCCCGAGCAACAGCAACCCAGCAACCAGCACCGACAACAGCAAAACAACGAGACCATTCCCCTCTCGCTCGCCTCGCCCATCCCATGCAAAGTCCCATGTCTGCTCCAGGGAAGTGTCCCCCCCCCCACGTGGCAGCCCTCAGGAACGTCAGGCGGTCCGTAAAGGGAACCGCGGGCGCACCCTATGGGAGCCCCGCGGTCGCGGTGGCGGTCGGTGGTGCTGCTGGTGCAGCGGTGCCGTTGCGGCGGGATTTCTGGCACGTCGATCGGCGCACCGCGCCGTCGCCGCGAGGCCACGGGCCCAGCCCAGCCCAGGGTCCCATGGCAGCGCCATCGCGCCACGCGGGCGAAGCGAGGCGGCGGGGGGCAGGGAAGGGCTGAGAAAGGGCAACGAGGCGCATCCCAAGATACAGATCCAGAACTTCTTTGTCACACTTTATTGTTGCGCGCTTCTCCGTATTAGCCGTTTTGGCCACGGGTGTTCGCAGGCCAGTAGATTGGCGACAAGAAAGTCGTCCCCGCAGGTAGTTCTTCGGGTAGGGCTTGCATCCGTTGGCTTTAAGAGCGCATTGGAAAAACGACGGGAAAAGGCTGAGAAAGGGCAAGGAGGAAAGGGCTGAGAGCTGGGAGGTCTGGTGTAGGCGGCCTGTAGGCGCGTCCGAGCCCGCAGACACTCTACCCAAACGCTACTCAAGAAAGCCGCGACGATGATGGTAATGATGGAGGCTGGAGCGCAGTGGGCCATGGGTTCACATGGTGATGATGATGGTGATGGTGATACTGTGTACCAATGCCGCCAGCTGTTCGTCACTCTTTCGGATCGTGCGAGCAAGCGCCACCCCTCAAAAAGTCAGGAACGAACAATCATTAGGATCCTCAGGATTCCGTCGGAACGTCATTAGGATCCTCAGGATTCCGTCTGGATTCCGTCAGAACAGTCTTGAACGTCATTAGGATCCTCAGGATTCCGTCGGAATCCACGGGGGTCATTCCTTGATAGCGTTTAGCTTGAGGGTTCTGGTAGTGGTAAAAAAAGGTAAGTACCACAGGGTGGACGGGGAGATCAACATTTCTCCAACCAACCTGCGGGGAATAAGCCAGGCAAATCGAGGTAGATGAACCGAAAACGGGGTAGATCCAGATAGATGTTACCCTCGACAAACTGAAACCTCAAAAATGTGTCACGCAGTGTCCTTGCCGATGTGATGCCCCGGGCTTGTGTGGTGTAACGTCGCTCCTCAGAGGTCTCGAACCATTCCCCGGGACCAGTTTTTCATCCTGAGTCTTCTCTTGAGGGTCCCAAGGCCAGGTGAGGGCCCCCAGAGGCAGAAAACAGCGGAAGCTGTTCGGCGGGCTTTCGTCATGACTCGAGGAGGTCTGCGACGTTCCAGCGCAGGTCGCAAGGCAGCAGAAGCCGTCGAGCCCTCCGCGGGCCCCGCGCGCGGGAGGCCGCGTCGGACGCCGAGGGCCGCTCGGCGGTGCACCACGCGGCCCGGAACGGCCGCTGCGGCTCGCTGGTGACGCTGCTGGCGGCGCGGGCGCGGGTCGACACGCAGAGCGAGGAACGGCGGGGGGGGGTGGAGAGCTGGAGCCGGCCGGAGGTCCGAGGTGGCCCAGCGCGAGCCCGGCACGAAGGGGGCGGGCCGACGTTCGAGGTGCCGGGTTCGGCCAGGTGTGTTGCTTTTGTTTCGGCCTTCGGGAAGCGTCTTTGGGCCCGAGCGTCAAAAACAGGTCCGGGGTGACAAGTTTGACCAGATGGACCCCGGGAGGGGTCCGAGGACCCATAGCGAGCCGGTTTGCCATCATTTTTCCATCTTGACAGACTCCAGCACAGACCCCTTGGCTGCCTCTAATTTTCGAGGGTGTTCGAGGTTCGGTCGGTTCGACTGCGTAGCATTCGGTTACGTTCGGATGGTTAGGTTCGGTCTGTTATTGTGTCGTTGCCGCGTCGCTGCGCTCTTCCAGGCTGCTTGCGGGCTGTCGATGTCGGTTTCGTTGTCGGTTCGGCAGGTTTTTGGTTCTGTTGTCGCCGTGGGCGGCCTTGCTTTTCGAACAGGATCTCCGACGGTATGTTTTTTCAGCCCCGGCGGTTGTCCTCGATTTCGGCCTTTGGGGCCCTTCGTCGGGCCCCGCGGCCATCAAGAATGGATCTGGGACGACGGACTAACCCCCTGAGAACGTGTTGTGGCATTTGGGGCCGCGCTGCGAACAAACCGCATCGTCGGATGTCATGTCGGCGCGCAGGGCGAGAAGCCCTGGGATGAAGGGGGGCTTCTAGATGGCGACGACGACGACGACGACGACGACGACGACTAGGATCTTGACATCTGGGCGTCGCTATTTCTCATGCCCAGCACTATCTTCCAGCCTCGGGCCCCCGGGCCCTCGCAGATCGATCCCGGTCGAGAAGTACCGCAGACAGGCGGGGTCGAGGGATGTGATGGTGATTTGCGTCGTGATGTTGCATCTTTTTTCGCGCCGTCGGATCTCCAGGCCTCCGAAATGGGGTCCGAGCTGATGGTGTCGGAGGACCGCGCCTCATCGCCGATGCATCGGCGATGCGTCGGCGATGCGGCGCGATTCTTCGACTCCATCTGCTCGGACCCCATTCGGGAGACCCCTATTTAGGGGCTCAGGGGGCTAGGAGGGCGTCGGCGCGCCAGCGACCGTGACCTCTGGGGCACCAGGACCCTGAAAACGGCGCCCGCCACCCGAAAACTGGGCAGCGCACGGAGCACGAGTGAGGTCGAGATCCCACGAACCTACGGCGGCAGTAGTAGTTTTTCGATCGCGGCCGCCGTTTGCAACCCCCCCAGGGGACGATCTAGGCCTCCTGGATGGGGTCGGTGGGGTCGGAGGATCGCGCGGCATCGCCGATGCATCGGCGATGCGGCTCGATGTGGAGCCCGATCTTCTGCGCGCCGGCGTCGACGATGCACCGCCGACGTCGCCGATGCATCATCGATAATCGTCGATACACCGCCGATGCATTGGCGATGCGGCGCGATCCTCCGACCCCGTCTGCCCCACCCCGGCCCCATCCGGGAGGCCTCCCAGTCCCCCAGGGGACGAGGAGGGCGGCGGCGGCGGCGAGGGGCGTGCGCTGCTCGCTGGCCCCCAGTCCGCCCAGGTGCCCGGGCGCCCTGGGGCGGGCCCCACGGCCCGGCCGAGCAGAGGCCGGGCGTGCTCCTCCGCGGGGGCGCTTGCCCGCGCGTTCGGGGTCGACGGCCCCAGATTTCCGACGGCAGGCTCACGTCGGGCATGTCTCTCCACAGGAGGCATGCTCAAGAGTAGTTTACAGCATGGACTGGGGACGCTTGCCCGTGGTCTTTGGACTATGTTTGGCTCTGCTTTGACCATGTCTCATTCTTCTTCCGAAATCCGCCTGTAGGAGGACACGCCCGACCTAACGGTAGGCTTCTGATTCCGACCGCAAGGCGACGGGTTGGGCGAGAGAGAGAGAGAGGCCGCCCGCGAAGAGGATGCGGCCGTTACGGCGGCAACGCCGGTCAGGCGGCAGGGCAGCAGATGGGACGCTGGAGCGGGCGGCTGTCAGAGGTGACGGCAGCCTGGAGCTGGACCGCACTTGAGGCTTTTAGCCAAGGCGAGCGTTGGATCTGGAGCTCAGATGTTTTGCCCGAGGCCGATGCGAGGGATGCGAGTGGAGCTGAAACCAAAGCGCAGCTCATCTCAGCTTGGCAGGGCCAGGCTGGGAAGCCGTGCTGCGTCACGCATGGTGGCGTAGACCATGGCACAGCAAGACGGGATGGCATACGATCGCAAATTACACACGCCATAACGTAGTGCAACGCCGTTCGCACACGCATCAACTAACAACTGGAAGTATGATGCGCTAGTGTTTGCTGACGTTCGTGATGACTCATGCCTGCAGGTGACCTGCAATGAGCTGGCGGGCGCGCCGGGAGGATACAAGGGGGGAGCGGGAAAGGTGGAAAAGTTTGAAGGGCATGGGCTCTAAGACAAGACTTTATTCAATTCCCCATCCCTCCCGGGACCCCGAACGCAGAGTCAGACAGTTGTCGACTGAGTGTTCTGCGCCCCCCCACTGGAACTGCGAGGCCTAGGAGGCTGATTGATCGCGGGCCCCCCCCAGCCGCCACGGCCGCGCGACTGGCGTTCCTTTCTCGCCGTGCGTTTTCCTCTCTGCCTCCTCCCGTCAAGGCCTGCCCCAGGACACAGATCACCCGGACTTTGAAAACCCCGCTTTGGAAGGTCGAGCATTGGAGAATGCTTCGGCCCACGGCTGCAGTTTCCCCAGGCGCGCCAACGTCTTGGCTGATCAGAGTCCTTCTTCAGGGGGCATCGATCCCGAGCAGCATCAGCAGCCCAGTAGCCCTGGCTGCCGCGCCCCCACAAGAGGTGCCCCCAGGGGCTGCGCAGGGGGAGGCAATCAATGCAGCAACAGCCCCCGCGGCGCGACTCCGGGCCCTGGGTGGGCCAGACAGCGCAGCGACACTGTGGCCCAAAGGCCTCGACGCGGCGGCATGACACCAGGGCGGGCCGCGCCCACGACTGGAGCACCGGGCCACGCATGGCCGATTCGGTTTTCGCTGCAACCCTGGCAAGAGCTTCGGTTTGATCCGAAGCAGCAATGGAGAGGTCCCCACTGCTTTAAAACCTTTTCCTAGGTGCGAGCGTCGGTGTGAATTCGCGCGACACTGAAACAACCATAATTAAGCATAGCCCGAGGGAGAAGACGCCACACTTACAAACACGGTCGAAGGAAATGGAAGCTGCGCCTGGGGGCCCACGCAGCGAAAGAAACGACACCATTCGTTCGGGGACATCCCCATCGGCCCGGTGCCGCCCCTCCGCTCGCCTGCCCAGGCCTCGTGGTGCCCAGGCCCCCGAGCGCGGGCCCGCGATCGCGGCTCGGATCTCTTCGTGCGCCCCAGAACCCTGCGGATGACCAGCCGCGCTGCGCCGGGGAGATCGCAAGACCGCACCCGGCCGAGCGGGGTGGGGCAGGCTAGGCCAGGCAGAGGAGGGACGAGAGCAAAAGAAATACAATCAAGCAAGGGATTTCGTTTTCGGGTAGTTCTTCAATAGGCTGGGGAGGTTTCCGTGGCCAAGGCTTGCCGTGGCCAGACCAGCCGCGTCGTTCCTTATTCAACTTGTTTGAGTACGACGATAGGACGGTGACTGCACGTGAACATACACGTGTTGATGTCCCCACGGATTTCTTGGGCCGTTGCGGGACGCCCCATTCTCGCACCCCTGGCGGTAACTATTGCGCCGCCCGCGACGCGCTCCGCCCGCTTTGGGAAGGGGACCAGGGAGGGAGCTTCCAGCGCCGACCCGAAAAATGTTCGCGGATCTCCAAAAGATTACGTTCACGTCGTCGCGCGACCCTCTGGAGCCCGCAGGACGCAAATATACACCGCCACCATCTTTGTCCAGGGCAACCCTGGGCCCCAGGATGCGGTACAGGCGCTCCCTGTCGAGAACAAGAAATCGTATACACCGTCGCAGCAAACAGACACCCTTGTTAAGTAGTTACCGGATATCTTAGCACGCCTCTGGCCCGTTGGGCCGGCGAATTTTGCATGGCGTGGACCTGCGGAGGTCTCGACCCATTCCCCGGGACCGGTGTTTCTCCCGAACCGTTTTCTGGCGGTCCCCGAGCCCAGCGAGGTCCCCGAGATGCCGAACATCGTCCAAACTTGCCCGCCATGTTTTTTTCAAGACACAAGGGTGTTTGGAAATGTGCCTTCTGCGAAGGCTGGGCAGATGTGGAACACGCTGACCGCCTGTCCAGCCGCCCGACCGCCGCGAGCGAGGACGGCTGCGCACCGCTCCTCGAGGCGGCGCGCGCGGGGCGCGCGGAGTGCGTGCGCTTCTTGCTGTCGCACCGGGCGGACCCGCGAGCACAGGAGCCCCCCGGCAACGCTGCCGCCGACGCCGCCGCCGACGACAGCCCTTCAGACCCAGGCGACGCGAAGAGATCGCGGTGGCCGGGTTTCCGTCGTTCCCGGCCTCCAGCGGCCGTCTCCCGGCCACGGGACCGTCAAAAACCAGGGCGGGATGAGAAGCTGGGCCCCAGGGAAAGGGCCGAGGTCCCCGCTGGCCGGCGTCACGAAGAATTTGCGACGTTGGAGGAGAGATGCCGCCGCCGCGGCCGCCGCCGCCGCCGCCCACGACGACGACGACGACGACGATTGGTCGCGCGGAGTGCATGCCTGGTGCCGCACTAGGCGAAAACCCTTCGCACAAGGCCCCCTTGCGGAGATGGTACCGCCGAGGCCATGGACAAGATGTATGATTCTGATCGACGAAGCACAGTCAGACTTCCCGTTTCCCCCTCCGTTGAGCGAGCAAACCTCGAATTTCGGAGGTCCGCGCGGGGTCTCTTGGGTTGGCGTCGGACCCCGGGCGGCGCCGCCCGCTGCGCGCTGCGCGCGCGGGGGAAGGGGCGCTGGGATTGGGGTCCAGCGCCGACCCAAGAAATCGGCGAGGACCTCCGCAAGCTAATGTTGAATATTAAGTTGCTGTTGGTACTCTGCTTCTTGTGGAGGGGGGTCAGACCCCAAGGCACCTCTGCACAACGCCGTGAGCTCTCTGTCGGCGCCGTCGTCGACCCGAACATGACAGACATAGCCGAGTCTAGGTGGGAGCACTTGCACTCGTCCACGTTACATCCTTCTCTACGCCCTCCTGGCTCGTCGTACTCCCGGCTTCGAGACGCGGAGTCTAAAGCATGCCGCATTGGGTGTTGCAGGACGGCTGCTCGGCGCTCGGCGGGCAGCTGGGCGTATCGGCGGGGCCCGCACGCGCACGCGCAAGCCGCGACAGCCCGATGACAGGCCGCCTCTCCGTGCCTCCTCGCCGTCTCCAGACCTGGCACCACAGCAAGACAGTAGACGGCTGGTGTTGCCGCTCTCTCGGCCTGTGGGCCCTAGGGCCCGACGCAGCACTCCATGGGATAAAAAAGCGCCCCTGGTCATGGCCTCGAGAGCTCCGCTTCCCCTGCCCTCCTGTTCCAGCCCGTCCCCCTCCTATCCCCCTCCCCCCCCCTTCCCCGCCTTCTCGCCCCCCTCTCATTCCAACTCCCGCTTTGCTCCATTCCGTCGCCTCCCTGTCTCCTTCTCCCCCTCTCCCTCGCCCCCCCTCTCCCCTCCCACTCCTCCTGCCGGCGTTTCTCTGAGGCGGCGCCCCTGGCTGAGCAGCTCGAGGCCTCGAGGGCTCTGAAGACGTGCTCCGCCCCAGGTTGCATCGGGCCGTGTCGGTGGGCAACCGCAGACTCTTCGCTCGGTGACGCGCGCTCCCCTCCCGCTCCTCCCACTCCCCCGCCCCTCCCCCCCCCTCGCAACGCGAGCACCGAAACAGCTGCAAACGAGCCCTCCCCCTCTTCCCCTCGAGGACCGCGAGGGCCGAACAGCGGCCACGCTGGCAAAGACCTACGGCCACGACCGGGCGCTGCAGGCGCCCCCCCCCCACTACACGACGTGGGCGGTGGGCCGCCGCTGCCTCGGCGGCCGCCGCGGCACCGCGTCGTGAGCCCATCTGTGCTGCCGCGCTGCCCCGCCACCGCTCATAGCGGGGCGCCCTGGGGGGGCGGGGGGTGGTCGTTGCGTGACATCCGAGCAAGTCCCCGGGCGGCCGGTCTGGGACGTCGCCGCGGCGATCGCGGCGGCCACACATCGGCGCAAGGTTTTGTCAAAGAGTGGCATGCCCCTTCCGAGCCATCACCACCACCCGCTCTGCGATGCGGGGCTCGCCTCGAGTCGCATAGCGACAAGGAGCTGTCAGTCACAGAGAGTTGCCAACTGATGTCCAACATGGACAGCCATCACGCAGCCAGGGGGTGCGACCGGGGCTTGACTGCTCCACGCCCGGGGCGGGAAGGCCTGAGTGCTCCAGGGGGCCTGGCGGAGGAGGGTGGGCGAGGAGCCAGCGCACACCGCCGCTCAGGAGCGGCCAGGACGCGCGGCTCGTCCCACCGTCCCCCCCCCGGCGCGGCGCGGCGGGCGCTGGGCGCCGAGCGATTTTGCGTAGCCGCTTCATGCTTCAGGGGGGACACCTTGGACAGCCTGGACTGACCGCACCCCCCTGTTCTTTCACCGGTTTCTGGTGCCTGAGGCTGCTGCGATTCGTTGCTTGCGCCGTGTGTGTTCGGGGTCGGGGGGGTGCACCTTCGACAGCCTGGACTGACCGCACCCCCCCTGGTCGTTCACCGGTTCCCTGTGCCTGAGGCTGCTCGCGCGCGCCCACCCCCGCCGACTCTCGGCGGTTCGGTTCTCTTTCCCCCCTCCGCGGCCGTCTCTCTTCGTGCGCCCGCCCTAGTGTGCTTAGTGCCCGGCGCGGCCCACCGGCTTCGCAGACGCTCTTGCGATCGCCAGTGCTGCCGACAAAACAGCTTGGGGGGAAGAAGAGCCACGCGCCCTGTCGGGGCCCGAGGGATCGGGCAAGCGTGAGACTCGAGAATGCCAGAGCTGGGGTTTGCCGCCGCTTTTGTGATGGTCCCAGCGTGAACTCTTGCGTCCCAGTTTCGTGGGGTGTCTGCAGCGGAAGTTCGGGTCAAATTTCAGATGAGGCCCCGCTATTTTCTTGACAGCCTCGCCCGACAAATTCTTCACGCTTCGCGTATCCCCACCGGCGAGTCGGATACGATTTGCACGCACTGGCTTTGGCTGAAGGTGGCTCAGCCTCGTCACGCACACTAGTGGTCTCCTCTACTGCATGGCGCGTCAACGCGGATCAGCTACACCTCAGATTCGGTGAGCCATTGAGTCTGGCCTCGTTCGCCGCACCATCGTTGACTCGGGGTGCCGCAGTGAGCCTGTGTTAGTCGCTCGCTTTCGCTCTCTCCCCTCCCCCCTTTTCTGTTCTCTCCCCCCCCCCCGCCTCCTGGCCTCACCGAATGTGGTTCGGCTGGAGTTTGGCGCAGAAAAGGCGACTTCTTCCCGTTCCGCCGCCGGTCGCCGCGCCTGCGTCCCCACCTGCCGGGATGTTTGGGCCGGTCTCCTGCCGACGCAGTATGCGTCTTAATGAGGGTCATTTTGTCCCTGGCACGTGCATTCGCCTCGGTGGCCAATTTACATCGTCACGCGCCCCGGACGTTGTGTTTGCTCCCTGTCATCCGCCTTGGAACCGCGAGCCACAAAAAATATCCCCACCGCTGAGCATTGGGCGCCTCTGGACACCTACTGGGGAGGCGATGTCAACCTCCAGCTTGACGACCCGCGAGACGGCGAGGTCGAGGCCTCCGCCCTCCTGATGGACCTGCTGACAAGCAGTGGCTCCGCGGCCATCAGCGCGCCTGGGCCCACTAGGATCGACAAAGATAACGAATCACAGATCGACATGCTTGCGTGCCCAGTGCGACAGACGTATGCCTACGAAGTCCGTAAGCTGTGGAGGCTAACCTTGTCGGATCATGCCCTCATCACCCTGGAACCCCAAGGGGCCAGAAGGGCAAGACGTGACAACACCATGAAGGCAGGGGATTTCAGGAATCCCCCCACCGCCGCGCACGCAGACCTCCGGCAGCTGTCCTTCCAGTTGGAGCTCACCTTCGGGGTCCCTCCCGTCAACCTCATAGGCCTCATCCAGCCGGTAGACTGGGTACGACCGGCTAGCCCAGGAGGCTTCCCCGACAGGCACGTTGACAACGACGACGGTGAAGTCACCTTTCACGCCTCCCCCCCTGTACCCGAGCACGCCCCAGCCGCCAGCCGCGACGCCGATCACATTTTGCCGGTCTTCCCTACGCTCATGCGGTTCGGGAGACATGCGCTCTCCGCCGCTTTGCAAGACTGGTGGAGGAAATGGAAGAAGCATAAGTCAAGGGCCTCGTCGGGCCTCCTCCTGGCAACAGCCAGCCAGAGGAGCGGGACGACACGCCCGGTCGGAGCATTGGCAATATGGCTATGCGACTACGGATGAGACGGGCAAGACCTCACCCCAGGATCAGCGGCCGAATGGTTGAAGAGGTGGGACGCTGAAACAACCCAGCGAAGGGCGGCCAGACTGACACCGGCTCAAAAGGGCCCGGCGCAGAGCGCACCCCCTTGGCTGCCCACTACAGAACTGGTACGGAAATCTACAAAAAAAACCCACGCCATACTTGGGGTCCGCGACACCACGGGCACCTGGCAGGACAGACCCGAGCAGGTTGACAGCGTCGTCTGGAACAGCCGCAGTGCGATATGGCACTCTGCCCCCCCTCTTCCCGAATCCGCCTCACGGCTCTTCGACCTGTACTTCCACCAGCACCCCGGCATCGACGCATCCGACAGGCCACGACCTAGCTGGGGCAGGCTGGCCTCCATCGTCCTCACTCCCAGCGGGAGTGCCCCCGGGGTGGACGGTGAACCCTACTAAGCATATCACCCAGGGGCCAGGTTTGTCGCCTGCCTCATCGCCCAGGCCTGGCACGCAGCCGACCTCAATCCTGCGCTCTCGGACGGTGTACTCGGGCCTTCAGTGGACTTCCTGGTCTGGATCGGGAAAAAAGCGGGAGCCGATAATTAATCCCAACGACATGAGGCCGCTCCAGCTTCCCACCTGCCTTCGGCGCCTGTACGGGGCCTCCCTGGCCGACCTTTTAGGCCCGTCTGTCGAACCCCTCCCTAGCCAGAACCAGGCAGCCAAAAGAGGAGGGCAGCGTGGCCCCAACATCACAAAGGTTACCCAGCACCTTGGGTCTCCTCCCAAACCACCCGCCGAACCGGGCCCAGCATGGCCGGCCCTGCTCGGCAGGCACAGGGAGGCCGTCGAGGACTTCATCGAAACAAAGGCAGCAGCGATCGGGCCGGCCCCATGCACGGCGGTGATCTTCTGTGATCAGAACGAGGCCTTCGAGCGAATCTCGCTTCAATGGATGGGCAACCTCCTCAGGAGATGGAAGCTACCCCCCTGGCTACTCCACGCGATGAACTCCCTTGTCGGGGACCGTCGGGTGCAGACGTGCAAAGGCAAGTACAAAAGGACCCGAAAGGCGCCTCCTACGATCCGTAGGAATGGGAGGTGCCGCCTCCCAACTCCTGCGGCGCATGGGGTACGACCCCCTCATTTCAGCCCTTGCAAGCATCGCCACCGACGACGACCCCACTTACGTCGACGACTTCGCAGCGCTGCTCAGCACCACCAAGCAGACGCTTCGAGCCGCCATCGCCCTCCCTTGGGCCGCGCACACTGCAGGGCTCCCGGTAGAAGCGCACCGCTGTAGAGGGATCAGAACGGCTGACTCAGAGGCCCTCAGGGCGGCGCTGGGGGGAACCCCAGTTCACTACGACCAAGACGGCGACGACTTACTGATCACCGGGCCCCCGGGCGAGCTCTTACAGACCCTCGTCGAGGGAAGCTCGGTGCAAGGTACGCCCAACCGGTGCACCCCGTTCCAGCGCCCCTGCAACTGCGCCTTCAAGACGACACTCGCCCCTGCGGGCCATCACAAGTGGCGGCGGTCCCTCATGGAGTACACCCCCTTCGGGGGCTCCTCGGATCGGGATCAGCGGCCGCACCCCGGCGCGGTCGCGGTCTCCCGCGCTGCCGAGGGGGAGCAGCCCCCACCAAATGAGGGACTCACCAAAGGGCAGTGCGACGCTCTGACCAGGAACACCCGGGAGCCCCCCCGCCCAAAGATGAGGGGCGGAGCCATGGCCCTGCATCTGGCGAAGATGTCTCCCTCTCGTACCGCTGCAGCGTGGAACTCTTACCTGGTTTCCCTCGTGCCATACGCGGCCCACTACTCCCCACGTCGTGCAAGAGCGCGCAGTCCAGGTACAACTCAGGACCGCGCTTGGACTTGCTGGGGCTTCGTGGGCCCCTGACTTCGTCCTCACTAGGCTTGGCATTCGGTTCCAGGTGCAGGGTGCCCCGAGGTGCCCAGCCGCAACTGCTCGGGCAGTTGCCGCCAGGGCACATGCCCTTAACGACTTCTGGGGGTCTGCGCCTATCAGGCAGCGCGCCAGGAGGCGATGGAACAAGCTGCTCCTTCTGCCTCCAACGCAGCGAGACAGCCCGAGACATCTCGTCCCAAGCCCAAGATGAACACTGAGCGAAAAGCCGCCCTCGCGCTCAACCGCGCCCACGAGCGCCCTGAGCTTTTAGAAGGCAAGCACCTCGGCAGGGTCAGCTACGTAGCGGCCTAGGCGCACATGCATAGCACCTTTCTTTCCAAATGGCTCGAAGATACCAGTCAGAGCAGGCGCCGGCACCCCTCGTGAGGAGAAGAGTGGGGACTCCTGTGCCACTGTTCGTCCTTCACTGAAGCCCACCACGTCATCCGCATTCTGTGCAACGGCCTCCCCGGGTCAGCAAGACGGAGAAGTGAACGCGAAAGGAGGCCTCACACGTGCCCTTGCGGCTCGCGCGCGAAGAACGTGTGGGTCACAGCCGGGCAGGACGACGAAGGAGCGGCCTGGTGTGCGAGGTGCATCGGCCCAGGGCCGCAGGCCTGCGCACTTTGGCAGCTGCTT